TGTGTGTGTGTGTGTGTGTGTGTGTGTGTGTGTGTGTGTGTGTGTGTTTTATATGCATGGCGTGCCAGTGTAGGCCAGATGGTGGTGTAGGATCCCCTGGAGTTACAGGCGGTTGTGAACCACCTGATTTGGATGCTGAGGATGTATGTAACTGGTCCTCTGGGAGACAATACCTGTTCTTAACCGCTTCAACTCTCAAAATAGAATTTGTAGGTCTTGCTTAGATCCCAATTTAAACAAACCAACAACAACAACAAAAAAGGCATTTTTATATAATCAGGAGACATTTATAAATAATCCTAGAATTACACGCTAAATTGAAGTTTCTGCAGTATGAGAATAGCATTCTGGCTAGATGTAAAAAAACAAAACAATTTCATCTGTTACATATGAATTCTGGAGTACATATGTGTATAAAATGACATTAAATCTGGGACTTGCTTCAAAAGACTCGAGGGGGAAAATGTCTATGATAACAACTGAAAATCTAAACTGGAGGTTAGTTATATTATGTATGCTATCTTTAGTATATTTATAGCTCTCCAGAAATCTTTCTGGAAAACAAACATTTGAAAGATAGTATTTTTTCAACATGTATTATAAAGCAAGAGACACAGACCTGCAGTTGATTTCAATCTCAATGTCAAATTTTTCCAATGACTCCAAATAAATAGATGCTGCATGTGCTAAAAATAATACTGACATGGAAAAAAAAATCTAGAAATCGTGTACTTTCAGCAATAAACTACTGAGATTACTAGGTTAGTAAAGATTTGCAGTCAGATTTTAAAACAGCAACTCAAAGCAGTTTTCAATGACACCATCAGGAAGTAAAGGGAAAAGGGGAATTTTAAAGCAGTAATTTTTTGATCCTACAAATCGCAGCCTCCAAACAAAATTAACCAAGCCTTTAAATTCTCATTAATATTTACAAAGCAGTGCTTCCTTCTGCTTGCCCAGCTTGCTCTTTTGAGCGTTGTTATTATTTATTGTTTCTTGAACACTCAGCACTGCGTGGGATTTGGATGATAAATTTCTTCCCTAGGGGACACTACTCCCGAAGCCACACAAACAGAGCACAGAGAATAGCTATTTAAGACGGGAACGCCAAATGCAAAACCGAAGAGCACATTCTGATTCTTTTAAAAATAAGGTTATGAATTCTAAGTTCTAAAGGAAGAATATGCATTCACATCCAGGGCTGTCTTCCTCCGCATTGTAGACTTGAAGAGGCCAAAGGGGTAAGGGAGAGTCTAGCAACTCCTTTAAAGCTCCTCTTGGCAGGAGGAAGGTCCAAGTTGCAAATGCAATAAGAATTTACTTTAGGGACTGGAAGGATGGCTCAGTGGTTGCGCGCTTGCTGTTTCTGCACAGGACCCAGAGTTCGATTCCCAGCACCCATCCTGGGGAGCTCACAACTGCCTATAACTTTAGTTCCAGAGGATCTAATACCTTTCTGGTCTCTGTGGGTACCTGCACTAACATGCACATATTCACACACACATAGCCATAATTAAAAACAAATTCTCATTTTTAAAAAAGAATTTGAGCCTGCCTTAGTGGCACATACCTTTAATCCCTGCACTTGGAAGAGGAGGCAGGGCAAGCAGATCACCATGAGTTCCAGGCCAGCCTGGTCTATATAGCTATAGCTTTTCCAGACCAGCCAAGACTACATAGTGAGTTTTCTCAAAAAATAAATAAAACAATTTGAACCCTTCTTATGTTAATAAGTGCATATAAAAAAGACCTAATCTGGCAACCATGCCAAGTTCTGTTCAAGAAACTAAAGCTGTGAATTATGAAGAAAGGAATATCAAAAGATCCCACCTCTCATCTGCTATACTCATTTGTGGGAATAAAGTAGTGTTTATGTTTCTGGAAGTCGAACAAGAATGTCTTTTCATTTTAAATCTTTTCACTGTTATCACTATGTGCCAGAAGAATCAAACTACTGAAATGTCAGTTTATAAACTAATGACTTTATTTTTCATAATAATTATGTAAGTCTCAAATATGATTTTCCCACTTATATTTTTTTAAAATTTTATTTGTTTAGATATTTTGTTAGGTATGAGTACACCATCTGCATGCATGCCAGAGAGAGCTTCAGATCCCATTATAGATGGTTGTGAGATACCATGTGGTTGCTGGGAATTGAACTTTAAGACCTTTGGAAGAACAGCCAGTGCTCTTAACCACTGAATTGTCTCTCCAGCCCTACACTCATGTTTTAAAGGCTTACTTCTATTATACTTAGCTTGGCTGGAATATTTAAATTCTATTACGACTAGTTCATAGGAGGATTACTCCATGCTTGCTTTCCAACATTTTTAACAGCCTAGTTTATAGAAGATGCACAATATTTAGTAAATATAAATAAATCACACTGTTGAAAATAAAAGGCTTTGCTTTGGTACCTACCAAACATTTTGAATTTAAGGATGTTGAGTTAATATTTAAATTAAACTGAATGGGATCTGTTGAAAGCCCACATATCTCACCTAAGAAACTATGCAATCACATCAGAACACATTCTCAATTTTCAGTGCCTCATACACATTCAACACATGATTTGTTTTAAAGTTTTACTTTATTTTTAATGGATACATAATTGCCTCTAAGTGTACAGTCCACAGTTCGTTCTTTTCTGAAGAAAGGGTTCCATTCATTACGTAAAGAGCACAGGGTTGTGGTAAGATGGTAGAAACCAATGTTCTAGGGAATTTGGAACAAAAAGTAGCTGAAATGACTCTCTAGAGTTACAATTATCTTGCCCTTTCAAAGTCTGTAAGTATTATTAATGTTATAAGAATATAAAATTATTTCTGCCTCAACTTTAAGGATCAAAGCAATTTATGCTCTTCAGAATTTGAAAGACAAGTAAGACATTAAGGCTCTCAAGTTAGAAAATCTTCAATATTCACTGTATAAAAAAAAGGTTAAACCTTTTACAGCATAACTTTAGACTCTTTGGGTTCAAAATTTTTCTTTTTCCTGTGTTACTCTTTGTGTTTTATTTCTTCCTCTGTAACAATCATACATAAAAACAGCTTGACTCTTTCCCCCCTTTCCAGGTTACATTTTATCTCAAGTAGATTTGAATCCAGATTAGCTGTATATAATAGGATTCCAGGGTGCAGACAGATGTCTAGCTGTCACTGACGATCTGTCTTGCGATCAGCTCTCTCATTATTTCATTGGTACCACCGTAGATTGGCTGAACCCGAGCATCCACATAAGCCCTAGAAAAATTAGAAGAGAGTTGAATTCATACAAACATGGTAAAATTTTCAAATTCTATCT